AATCTTACTCTGTGTTCATTTAGGTGGCTGTTTCTTCTTTAATTTATTTATTCAACTGTAAACAGTGACAGGCTGGAGTAGGATTATGAAGATGTTTTATGTCATGCCTAAGAGTCTGACTTTATTTCTGAAGCTCTGAAGATTGCAGATGGAGGGACAGACACATCCACACATACACATATAATAACACTTGGTTAAATATTAGACATGTGCAGTGGGTGTAGCCTCTTAGGGAAAGGGAAGATATTAGAATTGTCAGTCAAGCTAATCCTTGAGATAAGGAACTCTTGAAAGAGGAGACTGATTTAAGAGAATAAATGATGAGTTTAAGTTTAGACATTTGGGGTTTAGAGTGAGTTGGCTGAAAAACAACAACAACAACAACACAGAACCTAAAAGATGAGCGTCATGTTTTATTCAGTGGACATTCTCAGAACTTAAAGTCTGGGAGATATCATCTCAAATACATTGAAAGACTGCCCTGAAGAGGAAGGGGGAAGCCAGGACATATAGGAGTTTTTGGCAACATAACCAGGTAGTTGAAACATCAAAAGATTACTGTTAATAAAAGATACCTGAATATCTCAAGTTAAGGAATTTAGTGCTTTTCTATGTTTGAGAAGATGTAAGAGTCTGGGCTCACTTCAGTCATGCCTTTGATATGCTCCTCAGCTATCTAGGGCCAGTATCTTGCATTTTCTCATCCTGAATATTCTCAGCTGCACAGTCTGGTGTGGCTGTAGCAGCCAATGGGCAGCTCCTTTGTTTGTATCCTGAACGCCCTTAGGGCTCACCATCCAGGCGGCTCTAAAGTGATGGTTTGATGGCTGCAATATCCTTTGTTTACTCATATGGCAAGCAATACTTCAGTTGTCAAGTGACAATGAAAAGAAGTGTCAAATAAAAAAATAGAAGAGAATAATTTTTCACTAGGTTAGGCTGTGATAAGAAACAGCCCTCAAATTTTATTGGTTTACCATAACAAAAGTTTGTTTCTTGCTTAGAATATGTATTAACTGCTGCAGTTCTGTTTGAGACTATTCAGATCTGTGCCATGTACTATGTTCATTCCCAGATCACAGCCAAGATGGTAGCTATGATGGGGAAATGCCCTGGGTCAATCTTGCAGCAACTCTTCCTTTCTGCTCAGATGCCTCCAATGTCACACCTGTTTAAGCTGAAGCAAGTCACATGGCCAAAGTAACGTCAGCATTGGTGGGATGGAGGAGTCTATTCCCATAAGGAGTATTGCAAGTTACATGGTACACAAGCTGGTGGGTATGACTCTCTTTCAAGATGAGGAAGTAAATAATTTTAGACAATAATGCAATCTACTACTTCAAGTCTGAAAATAAGCATCATGGTCTATAATAGAGATATAAATTGGCAAATCATCAGAGTACAGGTTGCAACTGAAGCCATGGGAATGGATGAAATCATGGAAAGTATTTTAGACTTGAGAGAAGAGAAATGTCAAAGACAAAACTATTCTCTACATTTGCCTCCATATTCACCATCGCACCATTGCTCATAATGTTTTATTCAGAATACCCTCCCTATCTGTCATTCCCATATCCAAAGTCTGTTTATAGCAGTTAGATATAAATTATAGTTATAACTTATATGTTATATAGTTATAATTACATAAAAATATATAGTTATAATAACTAATTATAGTTATAATTAGCGAATTTTTTATAAACTTCTAACAACACCCTGTCTTCTTTTCTGGAATGCTGACCTATCTCTATGGTATAGTTTTGTTATGTGGTAAATCCAGCTTGCTTTTGCATTACAGAAGCCAAGGGCTTCTCTGCATCTTTTCTTTTACGGTCCCATATTGCCATGGGATAGGCAGGCTGCATAAACTCAGCCAGGTGGGTATTTCTGAGTGGGAAGCTGACTCCTCAGTAAGTGCCATGGGGGCAGATGTGAGAGTTGGAGTTCATACAGTCCAGCAAAGAAATCTGTTCCTATTGCACCAACTCCCTGTTCCCTCGGCAACAATTTTGATCTCTACCCATTTTAAAGTCTGGTATTCTCACTCTCCCAACAAATCTGTCAGCTCCTAATATCTTTAGGACAAAGTCTATTTTCCTTAAATTAAAGTTTGTTGTTGTTTGGTTGCTAAGTCATATCTGACTCTTTGCGACCCCTTGGACCGTGACATGCCAGGCTTCCCAGTCCTCCACGAGTTTGCTCAATCTCATGTGCATAGTGTCAGTGATGCCATCTGACCATTTCATCCTCTGTTGCCGCTTCTCTCCCAGCCCTCAATCTTTCCCAGCACCAGGGACTTTTTGAATGAGTTGGCTGTTTGCACCTGGTGGCCATTCAGAAGGGAAGTAAATGGGTTCAGTTTGCCAGCACCCCTTATCAGGCTTTTATGCACTTTGAGATATTAAAGCACAGCAGACACGATTCTCCTGAAGGCAAGCAGCCTATTTCTTTGTTTTATATTCTTTTCAGACATTCTTTCACTGAGGTTTAATTTATTTGACATTTCTTCTTAATATTCTTCTATGCATTAATACACAACTTCGTGACATCTGGAAATTCAGGTGTTATGTGGTGGGTGAGTCAGCTTCACTCCTCAGCAAATAGATTTTCCCTGTTCCCCATCCCCACTGTAATCCCTCATCCAATCCCCATCGGCTAGAAAATTTGAAAGCTACAAACTTTGTGGTTTACATTATACTTCCCTCAGAATACAGACACCTTCTTCGAATTCTCCCAATACTCCTGCAAGGAAGGAAAACACAGTGTTCTTATTGCCACTTGAAAGCAGAAAATTTAACAAAGTCCTAGAGTTTATCTCTAGTCTAGAGTATTATCTTTGGTAATGTTTCTCGTAATGTTGTACATGGACCACTAGCATGAGGCTTGCTGAGGATCTTGGTAAGCCCTTCCCCAAATAGAATCCTTGAGAGTAGGGAAGGCATTAACCTGCAGTTGATTTTCACATACATTAAAGTTAACTTAATAAATATCTCCTATTTTTGGACAGAGGATTCAATGTATGTAACTCATGGAAAGAATAAAAACTCCAAGAGGGCAAGCAATTGTTTCCTCCATGTCCCCATCACCTAGAATAGTGTCTGACATTTAGTTTAAGTTCAGTGATGGCTGATTAAGCAGATGAACAGAAAAGAACATGAAGTCACAGGTTGAAAACAGGAAAGTAATTTATTAATAAAATGGGATCAAGCCTTTAAACTTGTGAGAATCCTGACTCCACTGTTCATTGGTGCTTGATTTTTAACCTCTCTGTTCTTCAAAGTTCTCAAGGAAACTATGGTAATAGTGTGACTTCCTTAGTTTGTTGTGAAGAATAAATGAGTTTAAATATATAGAGTGCCTAAAACACTCAAAAACTTCAGTTAATTGCAGTTTAGCAGTAACTGGCCCCAGGTCAGGTATCAAATCAGTCAGGTATGACCCAGGTTTTCTTACTTCTTTGTACATTTTTTTTTTTTAATGACTTGGCAGATCTCAGAAGGTCCTCTCTTTCCAAAATATCTCTTTCACCATACTACTTGGTCCTTCAAATACAGGTAGGAATTTCCACCACTGCAGTCATTTTTCTAAAGCAGACAGGAAAACAGTGAGCACTTTCTAATAAAGCAGGGACCTGGAAACAAAGTTTGAACTGGAAATCAGAAACTAAGTTTTGTTTTCTGTTACCTAGCTCTCCCCATTAGTCTTTAGCAAAGTTAAGCGTGTCAGAGGACCTTGTTACGGCTGTTCAGTGACTAAGTCATGTCAGACTCTTTGTGTCCCCATGGATTACACCAAGCCAGGTTCCCCTGTCCCTCATTATCTCTGAGTTTGCTCAGATTCATGTCCATTGATTCAGTGATGCTATCTAACCATCTCATTCTCTGCCCCCACCTCCTCCTGCCTTCAATCTTTGCCAGCATCAGGGTCTTTTCCAATGAGCCCACTCTTCACATCAGGTGGCAAGTACTGGAGCTTCAGCATCAGTCCTTCTAATGAATATTCAGGCTTGACTTCCTTTTGGATTGTCTCTTGATCTCCTTGCTGTTCAAGCGACTCTCAAGAGTCTTCTCTAGCATCACAATTCAGAGGGCCTGGTAATAAGTAGATTCTGAAAGTCTACCCAGAGATTCATATACATGTATTTTAATTTTGGGGGTTAAAGAGAAGTGTGTGTGTGTTGCGGGGCGGGGAGAAGGTAGGGGAGTAGTGAAATGTGAAACTTTAAAAATGAACACAAAATTTTAAATCCTGGAGTTCTTTTAGCGGTTTGGTTTTATTTCCATTTGATCAAAGGCACTAATGCCCCTTCCTGGAACAAGCAAGATCATAACCAAATGAAGACCAGTGTGACTACTGTCTTACTGATTCCCGCATTCCAGTGGAAGAACAACAAATATGGCCAAAAGCCATTTTTCAAAGGGTTCCACATTTCTAGCTACATTCGATAAGCCTGGCAACCTGGTGGGGTGGGTTCGGAGTCACGGAAACTTTTATCAGAAGAACCTGATTAAATTAGTGTTTTTTGTTTTTTGTTTACTTCCTTCTTCCTTCACTCCAAGGAGAGTCCTTGGAAAGAAGGCATACTTTATGCTTGGCATTTCGAAGAGGAAGTGGGGGCTTGTGTGCAGTCCAAGTGTCTACCGTATCTGGAGATGGGCTGGAAATTAGTATAGAGCGGAGAAGAAAGAGGGGAGAGACTCGGAAATGAGACCAGAGTTGCAGGGCTAGGATCACAGGTAAGAAGACTTGCGATCCGAGGCGGGGGAGGGGAGGCTGTGCGGGATGTGGAAGGGGCGGGGTTGGGGGCGGTGTTTGGGAGCGGAGGCTTTTCGCCTTTAAAGGGCCGGAATACCGGAGCGCGTGGGCGGAACACCATAGCTGCTGTGGCCAGTCCGAGCCCCGGGAGGCGGGGCCCGCGAGGCCACGCCCACGGCCGTCGGTCCCGCGCTTTCCCGAGCTCCGCTGCCGTTCGCTGCAAAATTCCGTGGAAGAACCACCGAATGAATGGCCCTCATACCGGGATGGGGGCCCCGGGTCCCCGCGGGGCTCCAGATCTCTCAGACTCGCCCCGCAGCGAGCAACACTCCCGGCTGTTTGCACGCGAGGCGGGGCGCGGGACTCCCTCGGCCCCAGGTGCCCCGAACCCCTCGGCGGCGGAATCGAGCCGCAGGCAGGGCGGCGCCCGCGAGGACCGCGGGAAGGGGGAGAACGCGGACTGTGATTCCTGGGTCCGAGATAAAGTGCTCTTTCTTTTGCACCCGGAGAGGTGGTTGGGGACTCAGGGGGACGCCGCGCGGGAAGAGGTGGCCGATGAGGAGGACCTTTTCAAGGCGGAAGGACAAGACCAGGCACCCAACTGCTCTCCTCCTCTCTTTCCACGGAAAATTCGAATTTCTGGCAGCCGTGTAGACGCTCCCTCTCGAGCTCCCAAACCCCTGCTCGTGCGCGTCTTGGATTATGAGGTGACACGGGAAGTCCTGGAGGTCGCTTGGGCGAAGGGCAGCCTGACCACGCTGACAGAGGAGCGCTCCATGGCCGCGGTCACTTTCCGCACCAACAGGGAGTGAGGCGCGTTGCGGGGGCGCCCGGATCCCTGCAGAAGCCCGCGCTCTCGGCACAAAGGGGAACACCCGTGTCCACGCAGAGAGGATCGTTTCACGGACCTGATACCCGGAGGAGATTCGGTGGGCTAGAGGAGCCCGGGGAATGCTCGGGGACGGTGAAACAGCGCTTATCGAGAAAATGCGCTTCCGGAAGCTCCAATCTGTGATTAACAAAACAGCAAGAACATTTTCAGAGTCTGGCCGTGCTCTCCAGGAAGGCACATGCACCCAATGCAGACTGAAGAACTGTAAGCAACAAATACCTCCTTAAATACTGTGGCTTAAATACTGTGACGGTCTGGCGACCTTAGAAGAGGGAAATAAATATTTTTTTCAGTTTTGTAGAACGCGGGAATTTTGAAATAAGAAGCTCTTGTTAATTTTTATTTTGCAATTCCTCTCACTTGGTCACTTTTCTGCCTCCGCCCCATTTCTCTATGAGACCTGAAAGCAGAAGGGAAGTTTGAGGTCGGCTGCCCAGGGCTGGAGGTGGGAATATCTGGAGAGAGAGGCTTGTTTTAAAACTGGAATAGAAAATAAAAAGAAATGGAAGAATAAAATGTAAAACAAAGCAGTCAGTAAACAAAATCTTTTTGTTACTCTTCTGATTCGCACATCTTTCTTCTTCTTTTCTTTTTTTCACATTTAAGTGTTAAGACTTCCTCTATGCAGGAGACCAGAGGTCGGTCCCTGGGTCGGGAAGATCCCTTGGAGAAGGAAATGGCAACCCACTCTAGTATTCTTGCCTAGAGAATTCCATGGACAGAGGAGGGCGGCAGTTCATGGGATCGCAAAGAGTGCACCACGACTGAGCGACTAACACAAGGGTTGAGAAGAAAAGAGGCGCTAGCAAAAGAAGGGGTGGAAAACGGAAGGCAAAACTTTGAAAGTGAAATGCCATTTAAAAGGACTTTACCCCAAAGTATCTAATTTAGTTCAGTAAAAATGCCATTAATGTGAAAATTTTAGTTATTTTAATGTTTGAAATACTGCAGATAAAGGTAGATAGAAATGTATAGTTTGCCATAAAATGACTATATCTTATTCAGAGTTTCTTATTAAGGTTTGTAGTCGAGACCGAATCAAAAATACATCTCTCTTGATGCTGTTGGGGAAAAAAAATTTCTTTTGATGCTATTGAAACAACTCATTTTTATTATTATTATTTTTTAAATTTTTTGTTAAACACCATCTTTATTAACTCTCTAGTAGTGGGGCCTGGTTTGAAGGTGTGTGAGGAGCAGAGCACCCTCTCTCGAGATGATCTGATGAACTGAAGGAGTATCTGGTTACTGCAGGAATTAATGAAACAAGTGGGGACTCTGACTCTTGAGGAGTAAAACTATTGAACATGGCCCCCTCCCAGACTCCTCCTTTGCCCCTTATTTTCAGTTTAGAGCTTGACAGACCCTCAGATGTGGTCTGACCCACCTCTTGCCAGACAAGACAGGTAAGATACATCCCTCTTTTACAGATGAGCCAACCTAGACCTCGAGGTCAAGTGGTCACACAGCTAGTTACTCCATATGCTTACTAAGTAGATAATATGATCTGGTCATCTCTCTTGTAAAAGTTTGGGGATGGCCTTCAGGACTTAGTTCTAGGGAGTCGGAGCTGAGTGAGGGCAGCCTGGGTTTTCTGTCTCATGTTTATGAGAAATGTTAAGATCACCTTGGTGTTTTTGAGTCTGGCCAGGCCTGTAGCCTGGAGACTCACCCCTAGCAGTTCTCAGGCCACTGTGACCTTCACTTGAGTGGAATTAAGTATCTTGAGAGCTCATCTGTGCTCGAAATTGCTTGGTAGGTCAAAAAGGTAATATAGACTCCATGAAATGAATTATCTTTTTACCTAACAACCCTGCCTGGCTCCAATGTGAGGTTTAACATAGCAAACAAATTTCAGATCTGACTTAATAAGTTGCTGAGAGTCAACATGTGCCCCACATGGTTGAGCTTTGAATATAGACAAAGAAAAAGTTGCTTTTTGTTTTTTGTCTGCTTGGCATGCAGGATCTTAGTTCTCCAATCTGATCAAACCTGTGCCCTCAGCAGTGAAAATGCTGAGTCCTAACCACTGGATCTCCAGGGAATTCTCGAAAAGCCTCTTTAAAGCTGACCCAAAACAGTAGTATCCATTGCTTTCTCTATGGAGCAAACTCAGGAGCTGAACTACTTGGGTTTGAAACCACTCCACCTCTAAATAACCATGTGCAATGGGGCAAGTGCTTCACCTCTCTGTGCCTCTGGGTCCTTAATTGTTAAATAAGAATAATAGTATCAACCTTACAGGGTTTTTTCCTGGGATTAAGTTAGAAGAAAAATATTTTGAACAGTGCTTGGCATATAGCAAATGTTCAAGGTTAATGATTATTTTTGTTTGTCTTATTGTTTAGTTCACTTTAGGCTTTTACTTAATAAAAAGTGTCAGAAGGCATACAACACAAAAAAACTTATAGATCCTAAACAAGTGGTTTTTATGGACTTTTTTCTGCATTCTTGAAAGAAGAGGCTTATTTCTAGCTTTTCCCAACATTTAATAGATCAGTAAATACATTCCTTAAATTCCTTAGTAATAGCCCCCCCTTCTCCCCAGCTTGTGATAAGACTGATCCTAAGTCTAAGAGGCCCTGTGCTTGACAGCCTTTGAAGGGGATTCACAGACTGCTTGATTCTCTGGCAGCTATGAGCTTGGAGTACTTTCTTTAGGACCTGTCAGGTTAATCTAGCTGCCCTCTGGGATTTGAAATCTGACACCCTTGTCATCTCAGAAAAGCAGAATAAGAGAATTTTCATTTCATCTCCTTCTTTCAAAAATGTATTTATTCTAGTCAGTCAAGTTCCTTTAATCCAAATGTTTGGGTTAATTTTCTTTCCTGTAAGTCAAAATTATTTTTAAAGTACTTATCAACCTCCCTGCCAACTGCCTACAATATGCTTACAGATTTTCTTTTAAAAGCTGTCTCCCTGATGTAGAAAGTAATAAGTTGAAGTCCTGTTGGGTTTGCTTCACAGGTGTTCCTGATCCCTGAGCAGAACCCTGTCATGGATGGAAGCTGAGGAATCTTCCGGTTAATAGTGTCCTGGGAGTAAATCCAAATGGAAGCTTGGGCATCCTCAATACTAACTTGATTTAAAGCCAAGTCTCTGAGAATGACTGGCTCTTGGATCTTTGGTCTTACCTCCACCTCACCAAATATGTGATCATATACAACTGTCTTATGTGGATGGATCACAGCAACGACGATCACTCAAGTGGCCATGGCAGCCACATAACTGCTATGGATCAGGCAAGTGTCAGCCTCTTTTAACCTTTGTCCACAGCCTCCATCAACTTTGAGAGTCATTACATTCCACTTGCTGATCTTATTCTTGTTGGTCATCACTAGCACTTGATGTGCCTTTTTGCTTAAAAAAAACAGAAAGGATAAAGAGAAAAAGCTCTCCGTCAACAGAAAAAGTTACAGTCATTGCAAGAAAATTTAAGGAAATGTTAGTTTGTGAGGAAAAAGAAAAATGAAATAAAAACTCACCCATGACCCCAGATCTCTTTTAATATTTGGAATGTTTCCAGTCTGGTTTTATTTATTTGATTTTTAAATGTATGTATATATATGCATATATACATACAACTTTTCCGAGTATTAACCATATATAAAATCTGAGTATTGTCTTCATATAAACTAATGCATACTAGGATGCTCTTCAAGGTATGGTCTGTGAACCAGCAACTTGGGCATCATGAAGAATGGGTTTTTAAGAAATGCAGAATTCTAGGCCCCACTCTGAAGTCTACTGAATCAGATTTCTCATTTTGTCAAGATCCCTGGGTGACTCACATTAAAGCTTGACAGGTATTGACGTATATGCTATATTTACTGCTGTAGCCTACTCTGTCACTTACAAAAACAAAAAAAAAAATTATTTTTTCTATATTCCTCAATAATTGTTAACAATGTTGTGGAAATAACACTTTGTAGAATTATGAAAACATTTAGAGGTTAGAAAAGTGAAATATGTATTGCTGTGTGAATTGACAAAGTGATCTCTAAAATGTTGTGTCTTTTTTTTTAAGCTTTATTCTGAAGTTTTCCTAATGAAAGACTGATTGGTTATTGGAGCTCAAACTATTTCAGAAATGTGATCCTTTTATTGTCTAATGATGTGAAACAATACTTAAAAAATCTCCCTAAGGGAAGTGGGCAGGAAGTCTTTAAAGAAAGCCCAATTACAAGACTTAGAGGCTGAGTCAGGACTTGCCAGCCACTGGTAATGAATTGGGAGGGGGTGGGGGGAAGGTGGAGCCTGAATTTGAATCAACTGATTCAGATAAGAAAACAAAGACTGCAACTCTTGAACACCATGACATTCTTGTAACTGTGGTCAGGACTTTGCTCTTTAATTAGGGAGGGCGAATCTTTATAACTTTGTTTCTGTAGATGAAGATAAGGAAAGAAACAATCCAGTTTACTTTGGAAAGAGTAAGGAATTATAATCAGTTATTAGGCATAATGTAGCTAATAGTTAACAAAAAATAAGGCTTGGTTAGTTTCAAAGCAAGGAATTAATTTAAATTCAAACTTAAGATTTCTAAGATCCAGTGAGTACTTTCCTAAGGCTGCAGCCTTAAAAAATACGACAGAGAGGCTGTTCATTCAGAGCTTGGTTATAGAAAGGGAGTCGCTTAATATTACCTGTACTGGGCAGGGGAGTGAAGGCAGGCAGGGTAGAGGGGAACTTTTATAGTGACCGAGATGATGAAAACTTTATTCTCAGTTCAAGCTAAACTTCAGTTTTTTTCCTGACTATAGCTTCTGAGCGCCTTTTCCTTAGATCGTTGTAATTGAAAGTGGGATCAGGCTGCTGGCCACTCAAAGCAAGGTTGGTGGAAAGGACAGTTTGCCTTATTTTAGATGCTGGCCCACTGACAACTCCAGCGGGCTAGAGCTTTTTGTAGACAGAGGGCGG